GCTCTATATGTTCAGTCAGTCCTTTTTGTTCTATGTATAACAACAATTAAAAAGTTTATACATAGGAAAAAGACTTTTCCAAAAAATTGCATCCAAATGCTAACATTGTTGTGTTAGCATAAAAGAAATGCTAACATTGTTGTGTTAGGATAAAAGAAATCCAGGTGTGTGGTTTCCCATATGTTTTATATTTTGCTGTCTTTTTTCCAAATTAACTTCATTGTGCTTGAAATAAAAATATTTTTATTAACTTTTTTCTTAATAAAGCACATTTTCACTCCATTAAAGTTTCAATAAATTCTTTAAATGATCGTTATGAATTAAGCAAGAAGAGATTTAGGTATTCAATTTATGTACATTTTCCTAACATTAATATCTGAATTATTAATAATGCCATGCCTAAGGGTGAAACTTAAAAATACTGGTTGTTGCATTGAAAAGAACTAAAATTTTCTGTTTTTTTCCTCACCAGCTGACTTTGGTGTGGCTGCAAAAATAACAGCTACCATTGCAAAAAGGAAATCTTTCATTGGCACCCCTTATTGGTAAGACATTACCGTCATTGAATTCAGTGCATTTTCATTTCTTCATGGTTAGCAATCAACCTTGATACTTGGTAATACAAGTGATAATTGAAAGTTAGCATTCTTTCGTGGTCCTTGATACTATCTTACTTCTAATTGGGTTAGAGAACTTTGGTACTCATTTTCATCGTCCAGCTTTCCCTCCGTTGAAGTGCTAACAATTTTTACTGCCCCTGGGATCTTGTAATGAGAGGACTCATAGGTGTGAAATTTTCAAAAGACTTATGTTATCTCTTGTAATTTTCTTACCCTTTCTTCTGGTATTGCTTCTATTTTAGTCAGGACTAAAGGTTAGCTCCTTTAATATGCAATGTTGGATAATTTATTATTTGGAAAGCAATTTAAAGTAATTCTGTATCTCATACCTAGTGACAAAATAAATTGTATATGATAGGAAGTAATTAAATATAAAATTGAAACCATCAATAAATATCTGCTTTAAGAGTTGAGGAAGCCTTTCTGGGCATGAAAGCATAAAACTCTAAAGGGAAAGGTTGATAGATTTAACTACATGAAAATTTAAGATTTATATGTCTACCAGCTTAAACAAAATTAAAAGGCAAGTAAAAAGACCAGGAACTATTGGCTAGAAAATGCCAAACTAGGCTTAATATCTTTAATATGTAAGTTACTATATGTCAATAAAAAGCATATCTCATTAGAAGCAGGGAGTTATTAAAATAATACATATAAGATGTCATAAAATGTGAATAATATTTCCCTTGATGAACAAAAATGCAAATTAGTGACATTCTGTTCTATCAAATTGGAAAATATTTGGAAGCATGAGTAATACCCACTATTGCTAAATATTTGTCAGTGAAAGTGGAAACTGGTAGAACAATTTTGAAGCATAATTTGACAATAATATTTTTCAAAAATCTTATGTTCTTTAGTCTTAATAATTCCACTTAGTGGAATTATTTTATTTATAAGTAATAATTTATTAGGCGTAGAGGTTTATATATGAAGAGCTTTGTCGTGATATTTTAATAATGAAAAATTGAGGGAAAATAGTATGCAACAAAAATTAGTTAAGGAAATTATGTACATGTATTCACTTCATTGGAATCATATGCTACTACTAAAATTTATCTTGTTAAAAATGAATGTCAGCAGATAGGCTCATGATACACTGTTAATCATAAAAGCAAGATTAAAAGTAGCATATGCAATATAATCCCATTTTGTAAAAGGTGTGTGTGTTTGTGTAAGTAAAAATTTGGGTGAAAATATGTGAAACAGTGGCTCTCTTCAAGTGGAATCATGCTTAACTTGTTTTCTTTTCTTTCTTTGCTGCTTCTTTCCTTCTTTCCTTCCCTCCTTCTTTCCTTTCTCTCTTTTCTTTTCTTTCTTTCTCTTTCTTTTCTTCTTTCTCTTCCTTCCTTTCCTTTCCTTCCCTTTCCCTTTCCCTTTCTCTTTCCTTTTCCTTTTCCCTTTCTCCTTCCTTTCCTTCCTTCCTTCCTTCTTTTTCTTTTCTTTTCTCTTCTTTTCTCCTCTCCTCTTTCCCCTCTCCTCTCCTCTCCTCTCCTCTCCTCTTCTCTTCTCTTCTCTTTTCTTTCTCTTTTCTTTCTCTTTTTTTCTTCTTCTTTTCTTTTATCTCACTGTGTTGCCCAGGCTAGAATGCAGTGACAAGATCATAGCTCACTGCAGCCTCGAACTCTTGGGCTCAAATGATCTTTGTGCTTCAGCCTCCTGAATAGCTAGGACTACAGGAATGAACTATCATGCCAGGCTAATTTTTTATTTTTTTGTAGAGATGGGATCTCACTGTGTTGCCCAGGCTGGTCTTGAACTCTTGGGATCAAGTGATCCTCCTGTGTCAGCCTTCCAGAGTGCTGGGATTACAGGCATGAGCCACTGTGCCTGGCCCATATTTTTTTTATATATTCCAAATTCTCTTCAGTCAGCAATGTCACTTTTTATAACAGAAAAATGCCTCACTAAATATCATTTCAATAAAAGTTAAAATATAAATGAGTTAGATTACCTGTAGAATTTCCTTCATCTTGTGACTGTTTCCCTCCCTCAATCTCTGTCTGTGACTATCCTCCTTGTGAACACTCTTCTTTTGTCAAAATTCTTATTTTTTGTACCCTGACTATACCAGATGAAATACTATTTCTTTAGGTTTGTTTATTACCTTCCCAGAATACCCCTTTCCTGTGTTTATCTTAAATCCTGCCCATTCTTAAGAGTGGCTCACATTCTGCCTTTCTTCACCTGTAGCAGACTGATTGATCCGTTTCCCACTAAGCAGGAGGTGCAGTAATGTTGGTCAACTGGACGTTCCATTTAGCTACCACTAACTGATTTCAGTGGTCAGAGGATATGAAACCAATTTGTCGTCTCTGGGCTCTAGCTCAACCTCTTTCCTTTGGGAAACTTACCTTCAGTCATCTTGCTCCATGGTGGTCATTTTCTTCTCTTTACTCCTCTTCCTATAATTATGTATGTAACATTGCATATAGGATACATCTATGTGTTAGCATTTTTAGTATACATATCTTACATCCTTAACCACACATAAGAGACAGTGTGTTAATATAACTTTTTGAAACCTAAGTGTATATAACAGCAACTTGTGCCCTGTGGATATTCAATATATTGATACATATAAATTAATTTTAAATTAGTAAACATTAAAAAAATATATATTTCCCCAGAGCAGTATAATCTACACTTTATAACTTCTGATGCCATCATTATTATGCACTAGTGACTCCCAAATATATAACTCTAACTTAGCTGCTCAGTTTACCTTCAGTTTTCTACATATTCAACAATTCAGTAGAAGCTCTACTTCAATTTTCACAAGCATTTTATACTCGGCTCTATATGTTCAGTCAGTCCTTTTTGTTCTATTCCTTCTGCCACTGCCTTTGAGAAATCCTTTACAATTTTTCCCTTTATTTTTGGAATAGTCCTCTAACTCATCTGTCTGACTGGGTTTACCTCCTCTCACACTATCCTTCATGTTGCCATGAGTTTTAGATTAAGTTTGTCCTCGATGATTAAATCTTTCAGTGAGTCCCTGTCGTTTTCACTATAAAATCTAAACTTTCTCTCAAACCATCTGTTGTGAAGGACAATTGTTTTTCATTTCCTGTCCATTATGGACTTAGACTTTTGTAAAATAAGATAAAAATGAATTACCAAAAAATGATCATGCATTTTGACAAGAATAAAAGCTTATTCTTCATTGCTGTACTTACCACAGACTGGTAACGCGCAGTGTATGGCCCATATCGGTCTATACATGATCACACATTAAGTAGCAAGCACTGTCCTTTCACCTCTCCAGGTGTTTCATGTCCTCTCCCTACCTCCTGGATTTGTGCTTGTTTCCTCTGACTGAAATGTTCAGGCTCCCCACTCTTCTTTGCTCCCTACTAATTCATTAAGTATCACCTCCTTCGAGAATTTTCTTTAACGTTCGCAGGGTTTTAAGTGTTCTTTTTCTTTTCTGATACTATGTAACAAGATTCACAAAACAGAAACTAGAGTAAGGTAAGATTTTTCCTCAGAGCACTAGCATTCAGCTGAGGGATTTAAGATTCTTAAATGATCAATTTTAAAAGGATGTGTATATAATATTTATTTAAGTCTTTACTAGTAATTTTCTTCTTTCCTAGTAAACACCCCTCAGCCTCCTTCCCTCCAACAAGTCTAGTGATTATAACAAGAAGTAGCAGATTTCATATCATTTTTTTTTAAATAAAAATGTTATATTCATTGATTCCTTCTAGGATGGCCCCAGAAGTTGCAGCAGTGGAGAAAAATGGTGGCTACAACCAACTCTGTGATATCTGGGCAGTAGGAATAACAGCAATTGAACTTGGAGAACTTCAGCCACCTATGTTTGATCTTCATCCAATGAGGTGTTCTCATTATTTACAATTATACAGTTATTAATAAAGTATCTGGGGAAAGCAAAATACTGATAATTCAGATATTACACGCTGATTTTTAAGAATGAAAAATAGTAAAGGTATTGTAAAGGATTCAGGAGTAATCTCGACTAAAACCTGTCCTGTATTGCTACTCTTAAAGCAATATAGAATGGGTTATCTATACTGTTTGAAGCTTTGCCATAAAACAAATAATCATACTAGGAGATGATAGTTATCATTGTAAAAAAGTCTTTTTGAGCCTTTACATTCATTCTTCCATCATTTGATCTTGTTTCTTTTTTTTCCTATGTGGAGTTATACGTAAATGATAGAATGCAGATGAGATTTTTATAGTTACATTTGATTTTTTTTCTTTCTCCTTTGTCTAGATAATGAAGAAGTGCCTGTGTTGAGTATAGTTATCATTTACATTTTAGGATATATTGTCTTTCAGGAAAAAATTTGAGGCCTTTTGAAAAGTTTTTTGACATTTTGATGGAGAAGATAAATTGGGCTAAAATTTAAACTTTTAAAGTAAATGCTGTAAAGTTAAAAGGAAAATCCACAGTATTGGAAAAATGTTCTCCTAACATATAATTGACTACAGATTAATATATTACTATATAAGGGCTGGGAATGGTGGCTCACACCTGTAATCCTGGCATTTTGGATGGCCAAGGCAGAAGGATTGTTTGAGACCAGGAGTTCAAGACCAGCCTGCGCCACATGTCGAGACCCTATCTCCACAAAAAAATAGGAGAATTAGCTGGGCATGATGGCATAAGGAACTCATTCAAAGACTACAGGCCAAAAATAGATTAATGTTTATGAGCAAGTACCAGATACTAAAGAAACATGGAAAATTATTTGTCCTCATGACAACTAAAAAATATACAGGTTAAAAGATATCTACTTGTAGCTGGAATGCTGATAAGTATGGACCTTTAGGAAAGTAATTTGATGTTTGTTAAGTACAAAACAAATGTTACGGTGATTCCACTATTTAGGAAATAATCCAAGAAAAGAAAATGCTAAGAATTGTCCATACCAGATAGCAGTGGAAAAAATCTAAATACCCAGTAGTTGATGAATTGCTAAGCAAATTATTTAGCAGTTGAGGGCAGCTACTATGTATGTGTGAATGAAAGCAACATAGAAAATTGATTATTACTGAGAAAAGAATGCAGTATTATCTAATGTAATTATAATAATGTAACAATTGGTAAGCATTTAGATAATTTAGATAAAGACTAAAAAGAGCAGAAAATTTAAAATATCTTAAAATATTGGGAATATAGATTTTAGAACTTCCTTCTTCCATCCTCTATTCTTCTACCCCCATAGGAAAATGGGTCAAAGATGAATTCATGAACAAAATCATCTTATAGATTGACTCATGTGTAACAAGAGAATGTTGGAAATTATTGTCCAAAAAAGAAAATTGGTCAGGAAGTGGATATGATTTGCCTATATATCCAAAATAATTGTGGAGACCAGTCTTTGGTTAAACATACAATCTAATGTTAAAGTAACATATTATCTCTGTGTGTTACAGAATGATATACAATTATATAGACATGTGCTTAGGATATAATACTGGTTATATATGTAACAGTATGGTAATAAAACCCTTCTTTAACATTTAGTAGCTTTGCTTTGTGAATAAAGACTTGTTAGAAATTTAAAGTTCTTCTCTGTAGTCAGGAGAAATTTTTTATAGGCTATCTAAAATATAAAAAATTTCATTTCCACAACCCAAAGCAGTTTCGTCAGTACCTACATATGTGGTAGTTTAGTATCATTGTATCAGTTCATTACAGAATATTCATTTTGGTTGTTAGATGTAGTAATAAAAGTATTTTGGCATTGCTCTTTTTTTTTTTTTTTTTGGCATTGCTCTTTAACTGAAATTTTTATTTCAGGGCTCTCTTCTTAATGTCAAAAAGTAATTTTCAGCCTCCAAAACTAAAGGACAAAACAAAATGGTGAGTTAACTAATTCCATATAGTTTTATGGAATTTTATAGTCAAAAGGGGCACAGGTTGAGTTCTCTTATTTTATAGATGATGAAAGTGAAGCCCAGAGACATTAAGCAGTTTGCCCCAAGTATAAAGCTAATTTACTTGCAAAGCTATGGCAAAGACCTAGGCTTATTTTCTGGTATTTCTTTATAATCCAGTGTTCTCATAAAACTCAATCATGTTCTTAGGTTTTTGGCAGCTTGGGTAAGAGGTGTAGTGAGGAAAAAAAATTGAAATTAATGCATTAAGGTTTGGAAGAATCATCTGTTTTTGCACTGTATTATTTTATTGCCATTAATCACATATTGACTTTCATGGAAGGTGATATGAAAAGATTTCCTAGTTAACCGTGGCACTTAAAATCAATCTCTTAGTTTTCCTCTATCTTCCCTCCATAATCCTCAAAAAGTTTATTACTTATTTTCATCCTAATCTCTTCTTTCTCTTAAAAAGTAAAGCAGCTTACCTATCCTTATAGTCCATAAAGATATCATTGGTTGGATGATAATTAAAAATTATTTTTCTTGTAATATCTTCCCCATACATTTAATAAAAGAAATGATGAAAATAAAGGTTTCCAAGTTATTAAATTCTGGAATTTTTCATCTAGATTATGTGGATCTTTTGAAGGTCCATGAGCCCCCAAAATTCTGTATGTTAGTCCATTTTTCTGGGGAGACAGTCCATAGCTTATTTCAGATTCTAAGAGGCCCCTCCCCAAACAAGTTCTAAACCACTGTTTCATGTTTCAGTAGCCTGTTTGTGTATAGTTTTGTTTAGGAGCCAGGCCATTCTGGGAATGATACCAGGAATAAAAGGCAAATCACACTGTGGAAATAAAGGAATTTATAGCCTACTGCTAGGTATATTCTTTTGTATTAACACCGGTTTCTTCCTATTCCCTGTTGCCCTAAGTTCATAGATATCTGGAACTGAAGGGCTTTATGGCCTGAATATTCCATTCAGGAATGAATAACTGTTAGCTATAAGTGCTAAATTCACAGATTCCAGAGCAGTCATTACCATTGGAGAACCTTTGCTAGTCTTCACATACTGTCTGACTCCATGTTATCTCTGTCACTAGCCATCAAATATGATACATTGGTTTGATTTCTCTGTAGAGAACTGCTGTGTGGTTATTGTCATTGCTAATCACCAAGGTTATTCTGTGTCTTTAGTTCTCGTCTAATCTCTCCTATAGTGAAACATTGTGGTGGAAATACCCCTTTTTGTCATTAATAATCAAAGCACGATACCTTTAATTTATGTCTTCTCGTTTTCCCAGTTTCATCAATGCAGGTGGTAAGAAAACCCTTCCGGTTGCTAAAATTGCTCTCTCTTCTTTGCCCTCTTTCCCTAGGAAATTCAGTAGCCTTTTTAGGATTTAAATAGTCTCTCATATTATCCACCTTACTTCGTGCCATCCAACTCTTGGTATAGTGCAACATTTACATACTATGTAAATTATGCAATGAGACTCCTAAGTAGTACTTAGAAAAGAAGATCATAAATAATATAAGTGACACAGCCTATCCATGTCTAGTTTTTGTTATAATTTTTAGAGGTTGTATATTACTACATTATTACCTAATTGCATTTTACTTAAGAGAAACAACTGACACAGATGTTTCCAAGGAATATACTATACGCTCGTTTTCAGTGTTTGCTTTATGTAGAACTCTAAGAGACCTAAGAAAAGGTGACGTGTTTCAGACTGTCTAACTGCTGGTAAATTAATTTTATTTAATAACACCAAAAACTTACATTGGTGAAATATTTTTGTGCATGTCTCTTTTAATTTAAAGGTCATCAACATTCCATAATTTTGTCAAAATAGCACTAACCAAAAACCCAAAAAAAAGACCAACTGCTGAAAGACTTCTGACTGTAAGTCATTGAAATTACAGAACAATTTCCTGTAGTCATACAGTAATTAGATATATCACCGAAACAAAAGTATTTAAGTTTTTAATATAAAAATATTAGTGATCTCTTATAGCAGGGGTCAGCAAACTTTTTGTAAGGGATCAGATAGTAAATATTTTAGACTCTGTGGGTTATACAGTATCTATCACAACTACTAAGTTCTACCATTGTAGCCAAAAGCAGTCATAGACAATATACACATATGAGTAGAGTTTTAATACCCAATAAAACTTTATTACAAAAAGAGGTAGTGCATCAGATTTTGCCCATGCGTTGTAGTTTGCTGACCCCTGTCTTAGAGAAAACTCTTAAAAACGTTGCTGTCATCTAAAATTAATTGCTTTTCTTAGCTTATGTAAATTTATAGAATGCTCTGTGTGTATTTGTGTATAAAATACTTTTATATTAGAAAAAGTCAATGATTACAACAACCTAGGAAAGCTTTATTTAAATGCCAATATTTAATTATATGTGTTTTTGCATATTAGCATGTTTACTATATTAAATGTGTGCAAATGTAGAATATGCATTCTTTTTTCTTATTGTGTTTATGAACCATACCACAGTATTCATTTGCATATCAGTATGACATCAGTAATGAATGTCATTGGTATAGCCTAAGTTGTAGTTTTAAACTTAATATAGATTAGATGACTTTAGATAGAAAAATTATTCATGTTCTAAATTTATCCCACAAAAGCTCTTTAGTTTTATAATACATAATTATAGATTCTCTGATTAATATTTTTACTAATACATGCTCAATTTATTTATATTAATAGGCTCCCATATGCTTGTCTCTACTAGTTACTGAATGAAAAGGTAGAAATAACATTTGCTATAAACCATAGATGTAGAGATATACTCATGAACTTTCATTTTGTTTTCTTTTTATGTAGCATACTTTTGTTGGGCAGCCAGGCCTCTCTAGGGCCCTAGCTGTTGAACTGTTGGACAAAGTGAACAATCCAGACAACCATGCACATTACACTGAAGGAGATGACGATGACTTTGAGGTAAGGAAGTGTTTGCAGTCTCATGTTTGAAAACAAATGGTCTGTATGGCCTTAGAGTTTGTTTTCTGATTCACTCTTTAAATTTATTTAGAACAGGTTTAGCTGCAGAGATTAATTATGTAAAGTACAGTGCATATAATCACCAGTTGATACTTTTTTTTATTGTGGTGTAATATACATAATATAACCAGTTGATACGTCTCTTAATCCTAGTTTTCTCCAGAACTAGGATTAGTTCTTCTTAACACTGTCTCTTTTTATTTTCTTAGTTTGGTTTGCCTGAAGTTTTTAAGATGTAGCTGAGATTAAAATCAGGTGCCCGCATCCCAAAATCCAGAAATGCTTTCTCTTTTGGTGATTTCCCTTCTCCTTAGACTTCAGCTTCTGTAATGAGAGTTTGATCTTTCTACAGGATATACATCATATAAAGGACATACTTGTCCAAGAAAAGAAAGGTTTTAAAAACATTGCTTTAAACTAAAAGAACAAAAGTTTAGCCACAGCACACATGCACATTATTTTTCAGAAAAGAGACTCTTTAGAAATCCAGTTGGTTATGTTTATAGTTTCTCTATTATGCAGATCATCAACAACACAAATAAAGAATTAAGTTAAAGTGCCCATTGGAAAATTTTGTCCTTTCTAATACTTTTTCAAAACTATTATTTCTTACATAATTTACATAAAGGGCTATCATAACTATGCTTGCCTTCTCTGAAAATATTATAGAATTATCTCAAATGTATTATCTATATAACAACACAACTTGTTATCAGGAAATCAGAAATGAGGGACTTCCTGCTCATCAGCAGTTACCTATTTATGCCTATATATAAAACACAGCTGCATTTTTTCACAAATGTCTTTCTCTCTTTGTGTCTCTTCCTCTCCTATTATGATTACTTCTGTGTTTTTCTGAACTTGTCTCTTCATTTCTCTCTGGCCTTTATTTCCTTTTGTATCTCTACCTTCACTACTAGCAAGACTATAGAACTAATATTTATGTGTTGTTGGTCATTATTTATTAAAGGGAATTTTCTATTTCATGTTCTTGAGCTTTAAATTTTCCCTTGTAAGCATCATACTACTAACACTTACTGGATGCTCATTGTGTGCCAAGTATTAAGCCAGATAATTTCCATGTTAACTCATCTAATAAGCAAAATAGTCTTTTGTAGTAGGTACTATTAATATCCCTGTTTTACAAACGAGGAAATGAGAGACAAAAAAAAACGGAAGTAATTTACCAAAGATTTTATGGCTAATAAGTAGTGGAATCAGGATTTAGATCCAGTCAAACTCCAGAGCCTACTTTCTTGTCAATGCACCATCATTTCTATGTATGTATTAATAAAAATAGTCATTGGACAAACTTTAAACACTAATCTTTGTTTCCCCATTGCCTAGTATATAGCATAATCCAATTATATAGTAAGTACCCAATGAATATTTTATTCAACATTAACTGAACTGTAATTGAAAATATTAAATAAATCTGCTGCACATAGATTTTTTTCTACTTGAACCATTATTTGCAGACTTGGGACTAATAAATAAGACCTTTAGTCCCTTAAAGATTAAAAATTATTAAAATTATCATAGCATAAATGTAGAATTGGCTATTACTTGGTTTCCCAATTAGTCTTTCATTGGTTATATAGATAACCAAACCCTTCTTTTATTTCCCATATCATTTTGCTGGGATTCCCAAATCCACTCTTTCTGAATTCTCTATTTCTGTTTAACGATACCACCAACCTTTCAGTCCTTGAAATGTAAAACCTTGTCCAGGCAGTTGAGGTCCCAGCAGTGTATGAGACTAACACTGTCCTTGCTGTCATAGACCTCATGATACGGTCTCAAAGGAAATTCAGAAACACCAACAAATAATTCAGAAGTGTAATAACTGTTATGGAATGAGAAATATAAGGTACAATGGAGGCATATTATAGAGACAGGAGAGACTCACTGTAGAAGTGATATTTAAGCTGAAAACCTAAGGATAAATTGGTATAAGAAGAGAGCAAACATAAGTGGTCTGAGGAGAGGAAATAATAGCATGTTTGAAAGCCTGGTGATAAGAAAGAAGGCAGAGTATGTAAGGAACTAAAGAAAAGTCAGTCTGGCTAGAGCAGAAAACAAAGGAAGTGGTGGAAGATGAGATTACAAAGCTAGACATTGGCTATCTCAAACTATGTTAAAATTTTTGGCTTTTGCCTAAGGGCAGTAGGTAACCATTAAAGGGTAAGGCAGTGACATAATCAGGTATGTGTTTTTAAAACATCTCAAATGACTTCAGAATTGTGATTCCATTAAAGAAAACCTGTTAAAAGATTACTGATGTTATCCAGGATAGAAATGATAGTAATTTAAACTAGGGTGGTAGTGCAAGGATGCAGAAAAATAGATTAATTCAAAAATTATATGAGGGAGTTCGTGATTGGTTAAAGACATAAAGGTGAGGGATAAGAAAAGAATTACTACCAGATTTTTACTTGAGCAGCTGGGTGCATATCACCATTTACTGAGATGGGAGCACTAGAATAAAATCAGGTTTGGAAAGAAAGGTGAGTTCAGTTTTATACTGAGCAAGATGTTTCACAGGACTGACAAATGGAGGTGTAGTAAGGAGCTAGATATTTGGTTGTATTAATAGCATGCGGAGAAAAGTCTGGACTAGAAATACAGATTTGAGAGTCATTGGATATAGACGTAGTTGATGCCTTAAGGAGTAAATGTGATCATCCAAGGGAGGCACGTGGAATGAGAAGAGAGCCCAGGACAGAACTGAGATTTCTCCCAAAATTTAAGGATCAAGTAGGCAAAGAAGAACTAACAAAGAAGATTGATAAGGACATTGAAAGGAAGGAAGGAGAGTTTCAGTGAGAATACTGCCTAAAAGTTAAGTTAGTCTTTGGCTTTAGGTAGTAATGTTTGGGGACTTTAGCAAGGATTATTTTCAAATAGTGGAGGAGGAGCTAGATGGAGTGGTTTGAAAGATAAGTATTTCATGTACGAAATTTAGTTGCGAAAGGAGGGGTTAAGATAGAGCAGTAGCTGGAGGAGAATGAGTTGGAGAGGGATTTATTTATTTATTTACTGGTTTTTCTTGGGGGAGGGGGTGTTGAACAGGATTAAATGCTTATGAAAACAATCCAGTAAATAGAAATAGAAGAGTCAAGAGAAGCAAAGTCGATAGGCAGTTCATGAGAAGGAAGGGAGAAGCTGGGATCTAGAATATGAAGGATTTGATTTTAGATAAAGTAACACTTTACTCGTATTAGAGAGGAGGATGGTTGATAGTGTAGCTAGTAATTTATATTTTCTCTGTGAAGTGAGTGGCAAGGTCATCTCCTAAAAGCGTGAAGGAAAATGGATAGATTCGAAGAGCATAGAGAAGGTGTGAAATAGTAATTGAGGAAAATGGATGGGTTAAATGACTAAAGCAAAGTTGAGGGCTCAGCTGAGGTGAATTTCCGGTGTGTTCTGCTTTGTAATTTTCCTCTAGCAGTGATTGATACTCCAGATGTAAACATATAGGTAACTAGTTGAGTTTATCTGGGGTTGGCATTTTGCCATGAAAGACATTGGGGGTTGGGCACAGTGCTTCATACCTGTAATCCCAGCACTTTGGGAGGGTGAGGCAGGAGAATGACTTGAGGCCAAGAGTTCAACATCAGCCTGAGCAACATAATGAGAACCTGTCTCTATACAAAAAATAAAAAAAATTAGCCGGGTGTGGTGGCACACACCTGTAGTCCTAGCTAGGCGGGAGGGTTGCTTGAGTCCAGGAGTTGCAGGCTGCAGTAAGCTACGACTGTGCCACTGCACTCCAGCCCGGGTAACAGATCAAGACCCTATCTCAAAAAAAAAAAAAAAAAAGGCCGGGCACGGTGGCTCACACCTGTAATCCTAGTACTCTGGGAGGCCAAGGGGGGTGGATCGCTCAAGGTCAGGAGTTCGAGACTAGCCTGAGCAAGAGCGAGACCCTGTCTCTGTTAAAAATAGAAAGAAATTAGCTGGACAACTAAATATATATATATATATACACACACACAGAAAAAATTAGCCGGGCATGGTGGTGCATGCCTGTAGTCCCAGCTACTCGGGAGGCTGAGGCAGAAGGATTGCTTGAGCCCAGGAGTTTGAGGTTGCTGTGAGCTAGGCTGACGCCACGGCACTCCAGCCCGGGTAACACAGACTCTGTCTCAAAAAAAAAAAAGACAGTGGAGCAAAGGGAATTTAGGATACTGGCAATAGATCGCGTGGAATTATGGACTACAGATATAAACTGCATAGGGAGAAAAGTAAAGATACGAGAGATGCTGATGGAAAGTGAGACAGTAATGGATCAGTGGACTTGATACTCCAGTAGGAACATTAAACGAGTATAATGGGAGAAAGTGAGAGAGTAAGCCCAAAGGATCAGAGATTTGGAGTATGGTGTGAATTCATGTATCAGAGCTGATGACAGGTCCAAGGTATGCTCTTAGGAGTAGAGAGTGCACTGAAGTATGTAAGAATGTCTTTAGAGGTGAAGTCAGAAAACTGAAGTCCAGAACAGTGGATCCTCATGGGCTTTCGAAGTCCCTTGGTATGATGATGGGTCTAGAAGTACAGAAAAAAACACATGAGCCACTTTGAGAGCCATCAGTGAATGATAGTGGGTCATCAGAAACTTGGTAGATGGGGGTTGAACTGAAGGCCTAATAACTTCAAAGGAGCAGAAGCTCATACAGGAGAGTGGAAGCAGTATGCTTCTCACTTGGCTTACTACAGTATTCTTACTCAGTCTCCCTGTATCCAATATTTCTCCCCTCCATACTCTCTTATGTACTTATCAGATTTTATTTTAAGCATGTGAAGTAAAACAGCATCAGATTACCCTTAAAGCTAACTCTGGTGATGCCACTCCCTTGGTCTAAAATCTCCAAAAACATTCCTTTTGCCAAGAAAATTGAGAGCCCTAGCCGGACACTTAGAGCCTTTGATGATCTGGCTCACCCCGTGTCTGTCTTTCTGGCTTCTTCATCTTGTCACCTAATCTTCACTGTAGACAAATAATAACCAATCCCCCCCTGTTATAAACACTCCACAATTTCCTGTTCTTTCTTTCATCACTGTCCAGAATTCGTTTCACACATTGCTGCATGTCTGATAATGCCTACTTGCACTTCAGTCTTCAAATGAGATTACAGCTTTCATGAAGAACTTCTGTACTCCTTCAAGTCAAAGTCATTTCACCCTCCTCTATCTAAGCTTTAAAGTAATCCACTTATCTTCTTAATGAATGGCACTTATAATTTTTTAATCTTTTAAGTATTTGTGTCTTCCTAGACTATATGCTCTTTGAGGACAACATTCGTCTCTTTCTTTGAATCCCTTCAATATTTTACACAGCATAAATATGGAACAAGTGAATAAACTTTTAAAGTATTTTAGTGTTCGTTGTATTTGTTTTATGTTTATCCTATAATTTACTTTATTAGTAGATAATATTTATTAATAAATGGTCATTTAATTAAAAAGAGAAAGTTTGACCTTTTTGTTTTAACTTTATTGTTGAAATTTTTAAAATTATGTGTATTATGCTTATATCCACAGCCCCATGCAATCATTCGTCATACCATTAGATCTACAAACAGGAATGCCAGAGCTGAACGGACAGCTTCAGAAATAAATTGTATGTGTCTGGTATATATTTTCCATTGGTGGTTTTGGAGGGTTGATCTGTGTGTTCTTGTATTTTTTTGTGGAATAATAAAATCTCAGATTAATTAAGGCTGCATACTTTAGCATATCAGAATGCTTCTAAAATAGGGATTACTCTTCTGGTTTTGATGAAATTCCCTTGATTTGTAATTTTTGAATAGTTTATATTTTCTAATTATGGAAATAATCATGCCCATTGCTGAAAATTTGCAAGAAGAAAAATATAGAATATTGACATTGCATGTAATCACATCACCCAGAGCCAATCATAGATAATATTTTGCTGAATTTCTTTTATGTTTTTCTGTACTTATTTTTATGTGGCTGAATTTTTGCTATACATAAAATTTCACTTAATAATAGAAGTATTTTCCATATATTAGTGTAGACTTTGTAACTATTGTTTAATGGTTGCATTCTATTGCATTAGTTGATATATTATAGTTAGCCAGTTTCTCCTTATTGAACATTTGGGTTGATTTCAGTTTTTTTGGTCAGATTAACACTAAGATGAATCTTTTCTAAAACAAATATTTAAAAGATGAGATTTATTTATTTATTTATTTATTTTTGAGACAGAGTCTCACTGTGTTGCCTGGGCTAGAGTGCCATTGGCATCAGCCTAGCTCACAGCAACCTCAAACTCCTGGGCTCAAGCGATCCTCCTGCCTCAGCCTCCCGAGTAGCTGGGACTACAGGCATGCGCCACCATGCCCGGCTAATTTTTTCTATATATTTTTAGTTGTCCAATTAATTTCTTTCTAATTTTAGTAGAGACGGGGTCTCGCTCTTGCTCAGGCTGGTCTCGAACTCCTGAGCTCAAACAATCCGCCCACCTCGGCCTCCCAGAGAGCTAGGATTACAGGCGTGAGCCACTGCACCTGGCCGAGATTTATTTTTTTAATTTGATAAATTAATCATTGACAAATGAAAATTTTTATCAGTACTATTTGTCACTTTAGTCATATTAATTTAGAACAAGTTTGTAAAGAAGTTTTAGGTTTGGGTTTGTTGACTTAAGTGCATACTTGTTCCAAGAGATTTAAAGTACTTTACAGTAAAATAAGATATAGGACTAACAAAATACAAATAAAATTGTAAACCATAATAGGGGAAAATAATTCATTGAATATTTGGGCTGACTAGAATTATTGCAGATGAGCATTTTGTTTAAGTCTGAGTTTTCTTGAACTCAAATATCTCTAGCTTTAGAAATCTAAGTCACTGAAGAGTTAGAATGTCTTTCCCATATCAGTTGTTTATCAGGCTTTTTCGTGATTAAGGCAATAATTAAAAATTTAATGTCTTTGTTAGTTCCAGAATGACAATATCTTCTTATGCTGTTATCTCCTTGTGCAATCTGAAGTGAACTCTAAGGGCCTCAAATACCAGACAGAAAAGTGGCAAAGTTGATATTCTGTGATAAAGCTATAATCTTTATTTTATGCAGCTGTGTAGTATTCCATTAATGTAGCCTGATTTAGCCTTTCTTATATAGTTTTTGGATTTTATGTCATATTTAGGAAGGCTTTCTTGATTCCAAAGTCACAAAAGAATTTTCCTATTTTTTCTTGTATTTTTACAGTTTCATTTTTAAAATATTTAAATCTTTGGTATTAAAGTATTTGGTGGAAAGTATGAGGTATGGATTCAACTTTAGTTTCTTTCTAGATGATTACTCATTTGTCTCAATGCTATTAATTAAAAACTTAATCTTTCTACTTATGGATTTGATATGCCATCTTTATACTAAATTCCCATACATATTTTAGGACTCTCTCTGGAAATTCTATTCTGTTACAGTAATATGTCTACTCATGTGCTAGTAGCATACTTTTAATTATTATATCTTTACAATATTGTTAAAATCTTCTGGACTAATTCTCCTCCTACTCCCTACTCCTCCCAACACACATACATATATACCTTGTTGCTGTTCTTTTTTACTATTATATTTGGTTATTGTATTTTCCCTAAATAAACTTAAGAATCAGCTTATGTGGTTAAAATTTCTCAGTGTTTTTACTGAGATCTCATTAAATTTATATATTACCTTTGGGAGAGTTGACATCTTTATGATACTCAATCTTCTTAACCAAAATAGGCTTTTTTAGACATAAATTCAAGATTTAGTTCTTTCATGAGTACCCAGAGTACTAACATCCTCACGAGTGAGCTCTGTGTACTTCAAGTACCAGATAGAAGTAGTAGAGTAGAGTAGAAGGTCCTTTTATTGATGAATTTGCTTTAAATTTTCACCAGTTTCTTTTGTGTCTATTAGGAGTATTTTACAGCTTTGCTTTTGTTTGTTTTAGATTTTATACAGACCTAGTCAGTTCTATTGTTTTTTGTTTCTGTTTTTTTAAATTGATGTGATAACTTATGTATAGTAAAATACTCAAATCTTAAGTATCCTGCAGTAGCAGAATGAATTTTTAAATATGTGTACACTTAAGTAATTAGCACCCAGCTGAAAACAGAGCATTATCTGAATCTCAGAAGGCTCCCTCGTGCTCCGTCACAATTAGTAGCCTTTCCATCCTATACTCCCCTGCCCTCCCTCTACCCAGGCTAATCACTGTTCTTATCTCTTTCACATAAACTGTTTTTTTTTTTTTTAATCTGATCTTGACCTTCAGGCAAATGGTATCATACAATACGCATCCTTTTGTGCCTGGTTTCTGTTGCTCAACATTATGTCTGTGAGAGTCATTCATGTCATGTGTAGTAATAGTTCACTGTTTTCACTGTACTGTAATACTCCACTGTATGATTATACATTGATGAGCATTTGATTTGTTTTTAGTTTTTGGCTAGTATGACTACTGTAAACATTCTTACTATGTATTTTTATCAGACATAAATAATTATCAACCTGGCCCAATCAGTCTAAGACCACCAGGGACAAATGTGTAGTCCAGCAAAGTCAGGTTTATTAACTCTTTGCAATGAAGGAGAGAATACATACCAGAGCATCTCATCAAACAAAGGAAAAGAAGAGGTATAGGATTTTGGAAAGAGTGGAGTTCACGTGAAATTTAAGTGATGGCTTAAAGCAAAGTAGGGATATGTATGGAAGGGTAAACATCAGGTCTATGCTGTAAAAGTAGACCCGGGAGTATGTTTCTTAGGAAACTTCAAGTGTTGTGTTCAGAAACACCTTTATTCATCTTTGTTGGGAACTGAGTCTACTTCTCTGTGTCAGCAACTTATATCATCCAGGCAAGAATAGGATGATTCATTCTAATGGATATGATTTCATACAGCAAAGTTTCTGGTAGTCTATGATTTTAGAGAGTGAGGTTTCTCAGTGAGAAGTAATATAACTTAGAGAGAGGGTCATTATATGAAACTTAATGCATTTGCAAAACATTAAGAAGAAACATTGTTTCTTATTAACTTTGCATTTGGATTTTTTTGTCTGTCCTCCCAGCCTGGTGAATGACAAGGCAGATTTCTTTACTTTCTCAGTCTGATCCAGGTATCGGTGTATTAACTAAATTACCTAATTTAAAAAATTTATTTGTCATCTGAAAAGCCAATTAGTGGATGAGTCCAATTACCTAGGAAACCAGCTAATTAAAAAGAATTGACACCAAAGGAAGATAGGAGGTATTCACAAAAAAAGTACAAGGCCGACAGTCAGGTTTAGTTTTATGGCTTTAGCTGACTCATGAGTAAATTTTAGCCAGACGTTAGACTCATACCCCAGACTGACTAAGGCTGCAAAGAGCAATATTAAGACTAAAGACTCTATGGGTATTGTAATTAAAAAGTAACAAGTATCTATCAACAAGTCAAAACCTTCACCTGGTAAGGAGGAAAAAAAATGTAGTTAAGAAAATAAAGTACTGTAGTATTCAGATTAAAATAAGATAACCAGTGGCACCAGTCATCTTGTTCCATGGGTCTTGGTCAGATGTTCCACTTCATGTAATTATCTGCTTGGTCCAACAGACTTGGGTAGAAGCTGTCTTCTTTTTGTAGTCATCTGCTTCTGAAGGATTCCTTGTCATCTCCAGTTTAAAGTGTCCTGCTAGGACAGAATTCCAGTGATTTAGCATTGGTGTATGTGTCTAAAATTGAGAGACATGAATACGCTCTGTTTTACCATTGTATTAGTTATTAACAACATTCTATTTATTGAGATGGGAGGGCAGTTTTCCAGAAGACAGTCTCTGAATTTTAAATCATGCAAAAGTTGTTTCAGAGGAAGTGCTTTGGACCTGTTTGAATGTAAAACTGTATGCACTGTATGAGTTTCAGAGTTGGGGGCAGTATTCCCAAATGTGTGGAATGCTCAGTTTTTGTTTCACTGAGGGAGAGTCAGTGAGCTCCAGGGGAATTGACCTCACCGTCATTCAGGCAAAGGAAAAAACAAAACAAAATACTTTAGGCTCAAGAAGTCTAAGTATTTCTGAAAGTTTACCCAACTTAAGTTTGAAAATTCCGTTTGTCCTTTTTATCACACCTGAAAACTAAGGGTGCTAAAAGCAACGTAAGACATACAGATGTTCCTCTATTTACGACTGGATTACGCCCCGATAAACACATCATAAGTTGAAAATACAAGTCAAAAGTGCATTTAACACACCTAATCTACTGAACATCATATATTTGTGTTACATGTATGTAGTTGTTTATAGCAGAAGGGTAAGTTCAATTCCACGTGGCCAGAACCATATCATCTCTTGGAGATTAATGAGGATATATAATAGAAGGCCTCCCCACCATTTTATTTTGATGGGCCAAGGATGTATCCAAAGGCACTATCAAGATTTTCTTTAAAAAAAAAAAAAAATTGAGAGTCCAGTCTATCACACAGAACAAAAATTGGAGGCTTCAGAATTTTGTGCTGTAAATCATAGCTACAGTAATTTTAGGTCAGTCATAAAGAATTTGCTTTTTTTTTTAAGGATAACTTTTCCTACATGTTAAAACAAAACATCAGCCTAGGTAACAAGCACAAACCCCGTCTGTACAAAACAACTAGTGGGGCGTGGTGGTGCACACCAGTAGTCCCAGCTACTCTGGAGGCTGGAGTGGGAGGATCACTTGAACCCAGGAATTGGAAGTTACAGTGTACTGGGTGACAGAGTGAGACCCTGTCTCTTAAAAAAAAAAAAAGAAAAATTTTTTATCCAATTATACATGAGATCTCTCCTTTTATTTTTAATTACTGATACTGGTATATTGGGATGTTGTTGACATTTCACTGTATCTTTTTCTTTCTTTTTTTTTTTTGAGACAGAGTCTCATTCTGTCACATGGGCTAGAGTGCAGTGGCGTCATCATTGCTCACTGCAACCTCAAACTCCTGGGCCTTAGCCTCCCAAAGTGCTAGGATTAGAGTCATTAGCCACTGTGCCCAGTCTTCACTGTATCTTTAATCCAAATTTATGAGACTAATTTTCTCTAGGAATTATTTTAAGTTTTAAGATTTGCTAGATATATAATTCTTATTATTAAAAAGTGGTATTTCCATATTTATGCCTTTTATAATGCATCTCTAGACCTGCTTGCCAGTATTTCTAGTTGTTACATGAACTTTAGCTCATCTGTGTCTCAAAAGAGTAAAGTGTTTCTTTATGAATTATAGTGGTGGTTCTTGAATTAAAATATTTTTAAAATTATGTTAAATAAGTCATTAATGACAAGAGCTTTGTATTTTACATTATTTTTAAAAGTAGGTTCTATACTTTATGGAATGCCTTTCAATCTTTTATTGAAAATTTTATGACTCAGTGTTTTTATTTAATGTGATGAATTATGTCAGTACTTTGTATTGCTTTTTACAAATCTCGTTTTTAGAGATGAGGACAACTGGATCCCATTTAAAAGTGCTTTCTAAATGTATTTTGTTTACTGTGATTGTATTTTGGAATCTTGCATTTCTATGATGCAAGTATGAGTATTTAAAAAATTTTTTTTGCCTTTTAGTCACATTAGATTTTAGAATTTTAAAATTCTACATACTTTGGGTGGCTCACGCCTGTAATTCTAGTTCTCTGGGAGGCTGAGACGGGCGGATTGTTTGAGCTCAGGAGTTCGAAACCAGCCTGAGCAAGAGCAAGACCCTGTCTCTACTAAAAAGAGAAAGAAATTAATCGGACAATTAAAAATATATAGAAAAAATTAGCCGGGCATGGTGGCGCATGCCTGTAGTCCCAGCTACTCGGGAGGCTGAGGCAGGTGGATCCCTTGAGCCCAGGAGTTTGAGGTTGCTGTGAGCTAGGATGACGCCACGGCACTCTAGCCTGGGCAAAAGAGTGAGACTCTGTCTCAAAAAAAAAAAAAAGAGTGAAAAAAAAAAATTCTACATACTTTGTAATGAGTAATAAACTCTCCTTTTCTCTGTTTTGTAATATTTCATATAAAAGAGATTACTCTTTGAATATTTGGAATAATTCTGAAATCAATCTGACCATGCCAAATAAAATAAATATTTAGCAAAATATGATATTAGATTCCTTGAACACACCATTGTAACATTTAATTTAACAGAAGTCATTTGTTCTTTTTAAATAATATATAGGTTATTTTTCTTAGTTCATCTCTGCCATGAAGCTATAGCTTAAATTAGTCTCAAAACAGAGTCTATAGTATAGAGAAAATCCTTAAACTTTTCCTTAGTCATCTACTTTTCATGAATTTTTAAAAATCTCTTTTATGCAAAAAGTACTGTTTAATTTCCTGATTCCAACCAGGAATTACATAGAGATGTTAGGAAGATCCCAGATTGTTACCTTGTATTGGTAAACCTAAATTATCTTATAGTAAAAATAAATAAATAAGAGATTTTTGTTTTCTCATCTTTCCCTCTTCTCGTCCCCCAACAAAACACAAGCTTCTCATTACATTTCCGAGATGAGCCCTTTAAGCTGCTGAGTCTGTAAATATCTCTTATATATTTTGCAGTTGACAAATTACAATTTGAACCTCCTCTGAGAAAAGAAACAGAAGCACGGGATGAAATGGTAAGAATTGTGACTTTTAAAAAACTTTTTTCACATTAATATTTGAGAAGACTAGGCTGGGCATGGTGGCTCGCTCCTATAATCCCAGCACTCTGCAAGGCTGAGGCAGGAGAATCACTTGAGGCCAAGAGTTCAAGACCATCCTGGGCAACATAGGGAGACCCTGTCTCAACAAAAAATAAAAAAATTAGCCAGGTGTGGTGGCATATACCTGTAGTCCTAACTACTCTGTACACTGAGGTGGGAGGATTGCATGAGCCCAGGAGTTGGAAGTCATAGTGCACTATGAACAGGCCACTGCACTCCAGCCTGGGCAACAAAGTGAGACCATGTCTCAAAAAAAAAAAATTTTTTTTTTTTTTTTTTTTGAGAAAACTTATGTATGCTTTGATTAGGGAACAAAGTAATGTATTGTTCTAAGAATCAGTTTTAATAATTTTTTCACATATTAAAGTTTTAATAAGTTTATAGTGAGGTGTATTTTGACTAGAGTTCAACATAATACACTTTCAACCATTCATTTTGACCTTCTTGAGTCTTTTGATTTACGTGACATTATTAAATACATGGAATTTGATGCTCAGCTTTAAGCTCTCAGGACCTTTTTTCTTATTGATTCTGTTAAATTTATGGTAAATTCTATATTTTTTAATTCCTTACTTTTTTTTTTGAGATGAGTCTGCTTTGTTGCCCAGGCTGGCCTCAAACTCCTGGGCTCAAGTGATCCTCCTCTTACTTCAGCCTCCCAAGTAGCTGGGACTACAGGCTTGCACCACCATGCTATTTGTTAACACAACTTCTTTTCTTAACCATTGCTCTGATTTTGAGATTACTATTTAGTTAATCCTTTGCTTATCTAAAAGAAGTAATAAAATGAGATATTATTAAAGTTAGCCTAGAAGTTACCTTAACATCTATTTTATTTTTAAGCTTTACCTTTTAGAGTAATTGTCTTCTGTTAATGGACCTCCTTATCCTTAACATTTGGAAGTAGTGTTCTTTTTACTCTATGTGTTGCTGTGTAATAAATCCTCAGTTTCCATGCTAATAGGGAAAAGCAGTAGTACCAATAAATTAATGATAATAATATGATATTTAGTTCTCCATGTTAATGGAGTAGTGATGCAGATAATTCAAGGTTGTTTTTTTTTTCTCTTTTGCTTCACAATATACTAGCATATTGGTAAAGAGGGCTTGTCACATTTGAAGCTGTATTTAGTATGTTCATGGAATTTCTTAAGTTCAAGTCAACTGATAATGAGTCATTGACCTAAATATGTCAAATGACAAAGCTAATCTAGCTGGAGATTTAAAAATTGATTAAATGCCAAAATTATTAATATGCATGACACTGGAATAGTTTCTTGAATCAAATAAAATCCTTAATATCTGTTATAAAGTAACATTTTAAACTATAATTTTTGTCTTCACAGGGATTGTCATCAGACCCAAACTTTTTATTACAGTGGAATCCTTTTGTTGATGGTGCTAATACTGGCAAGTAAGTTTTCTAATTTAATAACTGTATTTTACGTAATTACATAAGAAAAGTATTTGAGGCGAAGTGATTTATTCTAATAAACCTTAATTTTCATTCTTAAAAAAGTTGTGCTATGCCTTTTGTCAGTGTAAAGCTTCTGGCTTTTTTTTTATTACCAAAAAGCAACATGCACTGATCATTAAGGTTTTGGAATTTTTTTTTTTTTTAAATCAGAGTATACTGTGTGTGCTGATAATATACTGAAAGATGTATTATCATAGGAAAAAAATACTGTAGCAGAAGTCAGAAAACCCCAGTGTCATCTCTCCAGTGTAGTTACTTCATATTCTAGACCTGTCTTCCCTGAACAATTAACTGAGGGGACTGGCCTAAATAAGTTGTTTTTAACATATTTGTGCATTGCAGTTGTGTAAAGAGCTCTTTGGAAATACAGATTCCTGGATCCCCATACTGGGCCAAAAGATTTGGGGTTAGCAAACTGTGACCAGTGGGCCAAATGTGGCCCACTGCCTAATTTTGTATAGCCTATGAACTTAGAACGGTGTTTACATTTTTTAGTGGTTGGAAAAAAATCAAAAGAAGAATAATATTTTATTACACATGAAAATTATATAACATTCGAATTTCAGCGTTCATAAATAAAGGTTTGTTAGAACACAACTGTGCTCATTAGTTTATGTATGTATATGGCTGCTTTCACACTGCAACAGCAGAGTTGCATAGTTGTGACCGCTATATGCCTGGCAAAGCCAGTGTCTACTATGTGGCCCTTTATAGCAAATGTTTGCCAAGCCCTTCTATAGAAGACAGTCTTTGGGATTGGAAGCTAAGAATCCTGAAAGTTTCCTGATTGATTGCGGTGACCATAGATAACTGTGTGGATCCAGTGGGCTAGATCAGTGCTTCTCAGACTTTGATATGCCTGCTGATAACCTGGAGATCTTAAAATGCAGGTTTTGATTCAGGAGGTCTAAAGGGTGCATTTATAGAAGTTCCCAGATGATGCCAGTGTTGCTGGTTTGAGGACCATACTTGAGTAGCAAAGAGTTTGATGACATAGCCATTTGAATCTATGGGTTCCAACTCTGAAATTCTGAGTCTATTTTTTTTACTAGTAAGTTTAAATTAGTTTTTATTACATGTTAAATATAACAAAGCATGATTGTAAAGTACAAAAGACTGTGTCCACTTTATAAAATCTCTATTTTATTGTCATATAATTTCACTATAGTCATATAATATGAGATCTTAGAGGTCTTCCTAAATTTTATACTCAGCGCTCACAATCTAGTTGTCTTTTATATCCTCTGTATATAAACAGATTTTTTTTTTTTATTTCAGGGTATTATGAGGGTACAAACATTATGGTTACACTTCATGTCTTTGCCTCACCCAAGTGAGGGTTAGAGGCATGCCCTTCCCCCCTACAGTGCTCGCTGTGTCCTTTAGTTGCGGGTTTATCCCCCCCATCCCCCTAATCCCTGGAGAGTATTACCCTAGTGTTCATCAGTTAGTACCAATTTGATGGCGAGTACAAGTGGAGCCCATTTTAATACATATTTAACAGTATCTTTGAGTTTTAGGATATGGCCATTTATCACCATCTAAATTACATTTTTCTTTGTATTAGATCAACCTCAAAACGTGCAATACCACCTCCCCTACCTCCTAAGGTGAGCTACTTAAGAATTTTGAATAATAAGTCTGTGTTTAAATAATAAATAATTAAATTTTAAAGTAATTTTGAGGTTTTTTTTTTCAAAATTCTTTTTAATATATATTTTAGATGAGTACAGTCTGCTTCAGGAGGGGGCATAAAGATGTAAAATATATAGTAAAAAAGATTTAATGAGAATTACAATATTTTTAATAGCTATTAGAAAAAGACAAAAGGTATTACTCATTTGAGAAAATACTTGACTGAATGGAAGATAGAGAGTTCATTGTTTATCATCACTTTATTACTACAGTTCGACATTTTAGTAGAGTCATGCTTTATTAAGTCAGTTTCCTTGTTTATGGTTATTTGTGAATTGCATAATTAGTTACAAAAATTTTTTTAGTTTTGGGTTAGGGCTGATTAAAAATCACATGGCTAATTTATAGTTGTGTCGGGACAGTAGCTCGACTCTTACTTTGCTTATATAACCCAGTAAATTGAACCATATACAAGAAAGAAATTAGGTGTATCCCCCTCTCCCTAAAGTCTTTGATGCCTAATGATAATTAAGTGTTACTGCTTTTTATCCAGAATTTTTGAAGTACTTTTTTGTCTTTGTACCACTAGCCAAGGATAAACAGTTACCCTGAAGACAACTTCCCAGATGAAGAAAAAGCATCAACCATAAAACGTTGTCCTGATTCAGAGAATAGAGCTCCCCAAATTCTCAGAAGACAGAGTAGCCCAAGTTGTGGTCCTGTAGCAGAGACTTCCTCTATTGGTATGACTAGCAGTGTCAGCAACTGGGCAGTGCATATGGCTAGATACTGTGATCTGGGTAAATAAAGTGAAAACTGGACAGAAAGCCATTTTGTTCCTATTTTAAAGAATATCTTTTGTCTTTAGTCAGTCCTATTACAGTTTAAAGCTTTGTGAAAGGTTCTTTAATTCCCCATGGATGAGCTATAATGGATTCAGTCTACTTCAACCCTAATTTTATCTCTTGCTAAATATTTATTGTAGGATCTAGAAGGATGAATGCATGTTCTTGCCCTCGAGAAGTTCAGGGTCCATAGCAGATGTTATACCCATATACACATAACATTAAGAAAGATAGCTTGTATAAGTGTCTTCTAAAATAATTACCTGTATGTGATAGAAGACCATAGATTTCTGAGGGAGATAAGGATAGGAAATAGAGGAAGTGGGCTCTTGCAGGGTGTTAAAGGGCTTGGTGAGCCTTCAATAGGTGGAGCATTCTTAGAAAGTAAGAATAAGCAAATCACTGAAGCAGGAACATCTGAATTGTGTTTGAAATACAGTCTATTATGGTAGAAATGTGAGCTTTTAAGGGGTGTATACTGGAAGATAGAACTAAAAAGGTCAATTATAAAAGGCCTTGAATATCAGTATCAGTAGGTCTGATTTCATTTGTCCTCACAATGTGGAAAAACATTTGTTGTTTTTGTGGATTAAGGCCACTGCTAAAGATGCAATGCTGCCTCTACAGAATGTAGAGAAAGGTACCAAAGATAAATTATTAATAATTCATCTGACAGTGGAGAATGTTCTGCAGTAAAGGATCACCCAAAGGGGAGACAAGTAGTGGAGTAAAGGGAAAATTATTTTTCAAACAAAGTACTTATTTGTATGGTCATTCACTTTTTAACCATGATTCTCTTTAGGAAATGGTGATGGTATTTCAAAACTGATCAGTGAAAATACAGAAGGATCGGCACAAGCACCACAGTTACCACGAAAAAAGGACAAGCGAGACTTCCCTGTAGGTATAATAGGCATTTAGTGATTAGTGGTAACTAATACTATATTTATCATGTAAGGATCATAGTCTGTCTAATTACAGAATTCAAATAACTGAATTTCTATATGACTAAAGTTTTTTGTTTTTTTAAGTCTTAGGAGGTCTTACAGTATTAAACGTTATTTTTCCCACAGAAACCAGCCATAAATGGCCTTCCACCCACCCCAAAAGTGCTGGTAAGGAATATTTTTATGTGAACTATTTGCCACTTTTTATCTCTTTAGAAGAAGCAATGTATTGGCTATCAAGTATCTTGAGCCATTGAAAGTAAGGATATCAAAAAATAGAAAGATGTATAAGATGGATTTGGATATACCATGGATCAAATCCTGTAACCTAATTTGAGTGAATGTGTTAGAATTTGCAGTGTTTCACTTTTTATAAATTACTGGAAGTTGAGTCCTCAAATTAGTTTACAAAGGCCAATTTAATCTTAATGTGATGGCGTGACTAGTACTGTGTCCTCTTCATTGTGTAGGTTAAATATCTTTCTACCCCTGAAATCATTTTCACATTGGACTATATACAGTGAAAAGGCACCAGGGAAGCTTAGGTTAATGCTTTTTTTCTGGCCCTTCAGTGGAACTAATCTGTGAGGTGCTTCAACCAATCATATGAATGGGATGCTTTATAAATTATACTTTTTTATTCAGCAAAAGTCTAATATATAATATAAAATATTGGTCTTTTTGTCTGTTATGACTATTATGGAGTCATACTGCAATTATAATTACTATAATGTTGCTGAATAAAATCATCCATTGTTTCACATTAATAATTGTTATTCCTAAAAAAAAAAAAGTAAAAGTATTATCTTAAAATTCCTAGACTATATCATTGACCTATATGGATGTTTTGGTAAAAGTTTGATATATTTGCCCTAAAATAGTAGATTACAAAAGGAAAGAATAGGAGACTATCAGTAGAAGGGATTAAATTATGTCAAAATGTGAATTTTCGGGGGGGATGAAGCCACAAGTATATGCAAATAAGAGTAAGCTTGGGATTTCATAATGATCTTAGCTATTTTCTAAGAATATATAAAATTTTCTAATCAAATAAGTCAAATTTCTTTCTTTATAAATAAGATGGGAGCATGCTTTTCGAAAGTTTTTGATGGCTGCCCTTTGAAAATTAATTGTGCAACATCCTGGATACATCCTGATACAAAAGGTAAAATGTTTGGATTTTATATACATCTCCAATAAAATATTTATTGTGAGAAAGAATCTTTATGATCAGTGAACTGAAGTTGTTTAAAAATCTGACTTTAGGCCAGGCGCAGTGGCTCACGCCTGTAATCCTAGCACTCTGGGAGGCCGAAGTGGGTGGATCGCTCAAGATCAGGAGTTCGAGACCAGCCTGAGCAAGAGCGAGACCCTGTCTCTACTAAAAATAGAAAGAAATTATCTGGACAACTAAAAATATATATAGAAAATTAGCCGGGCATGGTGGTGCATGCCCTGTAGTCCCAGCTACTCGGGAGGCTGAGGCAGGAGGATCGCTTGAGCCCAGGAGTTTGAGGTTGCTGTGAGCTAGGCTGACGCCACGGCACTCTAGCCCAGGCAACAGAGTGAGACTCTGCCTCAAAAAAAAAAAAAAAAAAAAATCTGACTTTAGAGACTAAATTTGATAGGAACTGCAGCAACCTAAATAGGTAAATGGGGTTTTGGTTTAAAGGCATTAAAATTTAATAGTGTCTAGGAACTATTCTTGATTTAAAGAACTAAACAGACATTACAACTGATTGCATCCTTAATTTGGAATTTTACTATAAAAGGACATTAGGGCCAGGCGCGGTGGCTCACGCCTGTAATCCTAGCACTCTGGGAGGTCGAGGTGGGCGGATCGTTTGAGCTCAGGAGTTCGAGACCAGTCTGAGCAAGAGCGAGATCCCATCTCTACTAAAAATAGAAAGAAATTGGCCAAACAACTAAAAATAGAAAAAATTAGCCGGGCATGGTAGCACGTGCCTGTAGTCCCAGCTACCTGGGAGTCTGAGGCAGGAGAATCGCTTGAGCCCAGGAGTTCAAGGTTGCTGTGAGCTAGGCTGACACCATGGCACTCTAGCCCAGGCAAGAGAGTGAGACTCTGCCTCAAAAAAAAAAAAAAAAAAAAAAAGGACATTAGTGGGATAATTTATAATCTCAGTAAGGTTTATAGATTAGATAATAGTATTATTTCAGTATTACTGTCTTATGGTTATATAAGACTTTTTTTAAGAAATGCACACTGAAATATTTAGGTCTAAAGTGGTATCATGCTCATAACTTATCTTAAACAGTTCAGAAAACAAAAAAATGTATAAATGGAAAGAGAAAGAAGGATCAGTGAAAGTAGTAAATGTTCAACATTTGTGGAATTTATGTTAAGGGTATTCAGGAATTATTTTTACTGTTACAGCTTTTCTGCAAGTCTGAATGAGGTCAAAATAATAATTTATTTTTTAAAAATTTAGACTGTATTTTTAAGATGAGGAAGCATGATATCTAGAGATAAAAATTTGGAATCAAATAAGTCTGGATTTGAATTACCCCTCTGTCATTACCATGTGACTTGGAAAACAAACTTAACACCTCTGATTTTCAGTGTGATCATTTGTAATGTGAATATTCCTAATACCTTGTTGCAAGGAAGGGTCCTACCTGAGTAGGACCCTTAGCAAACAGAGTAGTTAGTTAGCAAACAGAAGTTAGGCAGTATTGGGTTTCAGGAAGTGTTTGTTTCTGTATCAACAGGTCATATAATGATCTGCTTTAAATGCCACTATTAGAAAGTATAACCAAGAAAAAGATATTTTTAACAGTAAGAAATGTTTTTATTTGTTTATAACTTTTTATTTGGTACAATTTCAAACTTACAGAAAAGTTATATGCTCAAAAAATTCCTATATACTCAAAATCATTAATTTGTTTTGTTTTGCCCCATTTGTTTTACCAGTTTCGATCTATATATGCTTTTTTTTTTCTGAACACATAAGTTGGAGACATCATAATCCTCTCCTCTACCCCTGTACTTCAGTGTGTATTTCTTAGGAAAAAGAATTATCTCTTATATAACCATAGTACAGTTAAAAAGATTAGGAAATTTATCCTTCATATACTATTATTTTTAATCCAAAGTCCATATTTAAATTTTATTAATTGTCCCAATAATGTTCTTGATAGTTTCCATCCAATTTTTATTTTTCCAGTCCAGCATCCAGTTGAAGATCACATGTTACCATGTCTCTTTAGTATCCTTTAGTCTAGCACAGAATTTCAACCTCTCCTGATCTTGACATTTGTGAGGCTACTTATTTTGTAGAATGTCCATTAATTTGTGTTTATCTGATAAGTCTTCATGTTTAGATCAGGTTATTCATGTTTGGTGGGAAAAACATAGAAATGTTATTTTGCTCTTCTCAGTGCATCAGTGCAGGGGGCACACGATATCAGCTTGTCCAAATACTAGTGATGTTGACATTGATCTGTTGGTTAAGGTGGCATTCGTTAGCTTTCTCCACTGTCAAGTTACTATTTTTCCCTTTCTAATTAATAAGTAATTAATATGGAGATACATTGAAACTATGTTTATAAATTTCTTCTTGCTCATTAGACTTTCACCCACTAGATTTAGCATGCATTGATGGTCCATTAACATTCATAGACAATTTCCTTTCTTTCCCATTTATTTATTTATATATTTAATTAGTATGTACTCATGAATTCTTACTCAGTGAAATATGATCTATCACTATTATTTATTTTTACACTTACATTGTTCCAGAATTTTTTGAACAGTAGGAGCTCCTATGCTATTTTGTTTGAAGTGTCCTCATCATTCTTTTAGCACTTCCTTACTGCCTGGGACAGCAAGATTTCTAGGCTCATCTTCTATTTTCCTTGTCCCAGAATTGGAATGTGTCTTTTCTCTAAGAAGCCCTGGTTCTTGTTAGTGGAAAATAGTATTTAGAAACCAAGATCTGGATACCAGGTGTACTCATTGTTTCTGATGTGCCATGATTTATAATTTATATTTAATTTATAGTTTCCTTGTTCAAAAGAATATTCGAGGAAGTTGTTTAAAAATCTGACTTTAGGCCAGGCGCAGTGGCTCACGCCTGTAATCCTAGCACTCTGGGAGGTCGAGGTGGGCGGATCGTTTGAGCTCAGGAGTTCGAGACCAGTCTGAGCAAGAGCGAGATCCCATCTCTACTAAAAATAGAAAGAAATTGGCCAAACAACTAAAAATAGAAAAAATTAGCCGGGCATGGT